CTGACCCCCAGGGGTTCTCTCAGTGCCAAGTCCAGGTGTCAGCTCACTGTGCAGCACTTGACATAACTGCTAATTCCTTTTCCTTCAAAGTCTTCACCCATTAGCTTCTATCAACCCTCTAAAAAGCCTTCCAGGGCTGGGTAGGAGCCTCCTCTGGACACACAGGAGCTTGCAGCTCCCTGTGCTTCCTTCTGCCTGTGGCCTGATTGGGGTGCTGAAGTTATTATGACCTGGCCATACTCTTCCGCCCAACTCCTCCACCACTAGGAGGCCCCCCGCCCCCCAACCCAAGGGCAAGGCTTGGGTCTATTCCTCCAGCGGGGTCCATGCTCAGGGCCTGGCATAAAGGAGGGGTTCTGGGAAGGTTTGTCCATTTAATGTGTGAGAGAAAGAACTCTCACTGCCTCTGCCACTAGCTACAAATGAGGCAACCTGGGGGTTAAGAAACTGGCACATTTAAGATAAAATCCCAACTCCTCATCCAGCCTGTGATGTGGCCCAGAAGACCTCTTTGGCCTCATCCTGTGCTCCTGCCTTTTGGCTTACTGCTGGCCTTTTTATTCCCTGAGCACATCATGCTGTTCCTACCCTTCCCCCTTTGAAGTGTCTGGTCCTTCTGCTGCTCTCTCTGTTAAGTGTATGTCATGGGCTCTTGTAATTCAGATCACAGGTTGAGAGCTGCCTCAGCTGGCTTCCCTTGACCCAATCACCCAATCTGAAGCGATCGCTGGTCACTAGCTCCCGTCACTGGCTGCAATAATCTTAATGGCATATCCTTACCACCTGCCATTTTCTTGTTTGTTTGTGGTTAATAGATCATCACTTCAGGAGAGCAGGGAATTTTGTTTGCTATTCTCCCTTATTTTCCTTATGCCTAGAACAGTGTCCAGCATTTTGGGGGGCTCCATGTTGAATGCTGAATATTGAATCAGGAAAGAGCTAGAAAAAGAACCTGGATGTCTGGGCCTCTGGGCCAGGCCTCTTCTCCTGCCCGGACTTCCCTGGCCCTGCACAGCCCAACACTAGTTTGATTAGGTTCTTGTGTCTGGAGGGGGGTCCCCACTGGTAGCATGTGGTCCTGCCCAGGGCTCACTCAGCCCCTCATTCTTTTCTCCCCTCCCTGGGAAAGGTGCCATAGCACTGGGTTGTCCTCAGTCCCTCACCAGGGCTTGGGAGTCACTGAGGCAGAAAGAGGCTCTAGCACAGGGAACAGCCCGACTGGCCTAGCTGGACAGGGGCCTAGCTCCACTTTTCCTCATTATACAAATAGGACAGATGTCAAGAGGGGTTCAAGGTTACACAGTGAATTGGCAGCTTCAAGGACCTAGAACCCACTTCTCTTGCTGGCAGTGGAATTCCCCACCTTAAAAACCAGAGGATCGGGCCGGCCCAGTGGCGCACTGGATAGTGCGCCGCTTGGGAAGCGCGGCGGCGCTCCCGTCTGAGGGTTCGGATCCCACGTACAGACCGGCTCCCGCTCACTGGCTGAGCGAGGCGCGGGAGCAACGCCGAGGCTTGCGATCCCGTCGCCGGTCCCCGGTCCGGTACGGGGGCAACACTGAGGGTTGCGATCCGTTGCCGGACACGGAAAACAAGACAAAAAGACAAAAAAAAAAAAACAAACCAGAGGATCAGCAGACTCATTTTGCCCAGGGGCTTGGAGATTTCCTGGCCACTCCCAGCCTGTCCGTAGGCCTGCCCAGGCAGGATTTGACCCAAGCTGGCCAGGCACAAGGAAAGGAGAAACATGCCTTTCTACCCATGGACTCACTCATGGGGGGTGGCAGTAATGGGGACCAGCCAGTGGCATCTCCTTGGCATAGGAGTGCTGACTCAGGCAGGCAGTGACTAAGGGAGCAGGGTTCTCCCACTGCTGTGACTCATCCCTACCACCTCTCCAGGGAGGAACTCCCAGGAGGTTTCAGGCACACCTGGAGGACCCCATCCCATCCCAAGGCCAACAGCTGGGCCCCTGGAGAGGAAAAGGAGTTCAGCATATGTCACAGGATACTGTCTTGCTGAGTGACAAGCAGCCTCCCACCTGGGCAGAGAGAGGGCAGAGCAGGGGCAGCCCAGTCTCTGCTCTGAGAACTGTTTCCTTTTCCACCTGAGCCTGGCCCTGCTGCTAGCGGGCTTGGGTTTTGGCCTGTTTGCTGATGTGAGGAAGCATACTGGACTAGGTTGGCTCTTGGCATTCGAGTAGGGACAATAACAGCCACGATGATGAAAATGATACTTGCTGTTCACTGGATTCTTTACTCCAGGCCAGCCACTGTGCTCTCATTTTCCACCCATCATTTAATTTTCACAAGTAGGTCCAATTATTATCCCCATTTTAGAGGCACGGGAACTGAAGCGCCAGAGTAGGTAGAGTGGTTTGCTTGAGGTCACCCAGCTAGGGAGCAGCAAGGGTGGGATTGGAACCTGTGCTTACAAGGGAACAGAGTCCAGACTCTTTTTTTTTTTTTTTTTTTTAAAGATGACCGGTAAGGGGATCTTAACCCTTGACTTGGTGTTGTCAGCACCATGCTCAGCCAGTGAGCGAACCGGCCATCCCTATATGGGATCCGAACCCGGGGCCTTGGTGTTATCAGCACCGCAATCTCCCGAGTGAGCCACAGGCCGGCCCAGAGTCCAGACTCTTAACTGACCTGACAGGCCCCCTCCTGATGGGGTTTTCTGGGAAGGGAGGGGCCTTGTTTTTCTCCTTCCTGGCTAACTTGTACTTTCTTCACCTCCTCCAGGAAGCCTTCTCGGATCTCTGGGCTCCCAGGTCCCCTGTGCGTACTTATCCTGAAACTGCTTTCCTACCTGGATGCTTGTGGAGGGTTTGTCAAGTGAATAAATGAATCTTTTTTGGAGGAACTCTCTGAGTCTACCAGAATATTCTTTCTTCCCCTGTTGCAGGGCCCCAGGCAGCACTTTCCCCTCTGGGCCGTCCACTTCACCTCTTCAGAGCCAGTGAGCGTTTGGGGAATAAATAGAGGCACAAATACATGAATGAAACATTTCTGTGCCTATGCCATGGAGAATTTTGGGTTTGTTCAAGTCTGTAGTGTCCATACCTTTAGCTGGAGGGCCAGGCCAGGAAGACGAGTCTCAGCCCCTGAGCTGGGCCTCACCCAGGACCTTCAGCTCTGAATGCATGACAGGGAGCAGGAGCAGATGACTGTGGGCACCTCCTGTGTCAGGACCTATGTTTATATTAATATAAATAAGGCCATGGTTTGGTGGGCAGCCTGTACACAGGGCCACAGGGACAGGCTGCGCATCTCCCTGTCAGGACATAGGAAAGTAAGACCCCTGGAAGTGACCTTGTATCTGGCAGGCCAGGGTCTGGTCATCCTGGACTAAGGGCCTACCTCTGCTCAACAGGCTCTGGAGAGGGGAAGTGGTCCTTGGAGGGAGCCGATGTCAGGGATCCTGGGACCCTGTCCAGGAGTTGGATGTTTGGCCCGAGAGCTTCTAAGCCCAGTTCACATTCTTGGGTGGGGAGGGCTCAGTGTTGGCCCCATTCTGCTGATGCCCTAGAGGAGAGTCTTGCCCTCTGCCCCACCCTGGTGGTTGCAAGGCTGCCTACCTACCCCAATCACTCTTTCATAGCAGTTATCACAAAATATTTGCAAGATGTCTTCTGGAAAGGGAGGCATGATTTGTTCTCCACTGGACAGGGTCTGACATTGTGCTCAATATCATTTGAATGAATAAATGAAAAACTCAGACATGACTTAAAATCTCAACTTCACCACTTAACTAAGTTTTGTGAATTTAGGCAGATAATCTAACTTGGAGCCCCTTTCTCAACCATAAAATGGAGACAATCCCTCTATCATCGCCAGTTGCTGTGATGGTGAAATAGGGGCTCCTTCAGCTTCTAGGCCTTCCCAGGCTCCGATGTGAAGATGGGAAGCTCTGGACAAGGCGCATGAGGAATGCTGCTTCCCAGGGCCGGCCCGTGGCTCACTCGGGAGAGTGCAGTGCTGATAACACCAAGGCCATGGGTTCGGATCCCTGTATAGGGATGGCCGGTTCGCTCACTGGCTGAGTGTGGTGCTGACAACACCAAGTGAGGGGTTGAGATACCCTTACCGGTCATCCTTTGGAAAAAAAAAAGGAATGTTGCTTCCCTCCTGGAAGGGCAGCATCAATGGGTGCTGGCTCTGGGAAGGGGAACAGGCGGTTCCTAAAAATGCCATGAAGGGGCGCCCTGTTCGCAAGGCTCTGCTTCCACTCCTAGCTCCTCCTCCTACTAGCCAAGGGAACCAGGCAGTTTCTAACCTCATGGAAACTGTTTCCAATGTGGAAAATAACCCGTGGTAGTGGGTACACTAAGGTGATCCGTGTTGATGGGATAGGTGGTCAAAAAGGGGCACCAGGACAGTTCGGCCCATCCAGGTGTCACTGTGAAGATGACCAATTGTTTCTTGAAGCCTAAAAGGGCTGGGCCATTCCCATTCTCTCCATCCCAAAGGGACCCCAGAATCAAAACAAACCAGGAGCAAGCAGAAGGCTATTTATATATCATGCTTTTAATACAAACTTAAAAAAATCTGGAACAATATAAACTGTACAGATTTGATCAATCTTTTTGTTTTGTTTTTAAACTAAATCTCTAAACACACCAATGTCCCATTCCAAAATATTGCACAACATTCTGAATACAAAACGCTTGATTGTATTCTTCCTTCACTAAAAAAAAAAAAAAAAAAAAAAAAAAAGGTTCATTACCCTGCTCCCCTGGCTCCTCTCCACGTTTGTCTCAAAGCCCCCCTTCCCATCCCTACAGAGAAAACGAGACAATCTATAGCTCACCGCATTGAGGAAAAAAGACATCATTCTGGACTAACAGTTTACATTCTTTACAAGATAATCCACCTTTCGACCTGTTCCTGGGAAAGAGGGATAGAGAGAGGATGGGGAAAAGGAGGGGAGAAAAGGTTTTATTCTCCTCTTTTTTTATTTTAAAGTTTGTTTTTCCTGAAAAAATATCTGTTTCTCTCCTCTTTTTAAGAAAAAATCTTGAAAAGAAAAAAATTACAGTTTTTTACGTTAGAAATATACATATATTATATATACCTCTTACATTTTACAAATGTAGCAAATTATTCAATACAAACGGACACCAAAAAATGTAAAAAATGAAAAAGAAAGTTTTCCTATGAAACCAGGTAATTTAGTGCAGATTTTTGTTTTTTTCTTAAAAAAAATAAAATTGAAGCAAAAATGCCTAGATTTGAGACAAGACAGACTAAACTGGGCCCAAGAGCCCAGAGATGGAGTCATGTTCCTGAACATGTTTTCTTTGTATTTCAACAGATACAGAGGGGTTGGTCTTCCCCCTCCCTACACATGGTGAGAAACAAGCCGACCTGGGCGTGGGTGGGTACCTGTGTGCGTGTGTGGGTAGGGGCTGGAAGGAGGGATAAGGCAGCATCCAACCATTCCCAGAGAGACGCTATCTGCTTGGACCTGTCACCTGTGTGGGAACGAGGACTGGGGAAAGGGTAGCCCAGACTGAGCTGGCCCCTGAGAAGCCTAGGGGGACAGATGGTGGTGGGCCGAGAAAAGCCAGAGCATTGCCCTGCTGGGGGAGGTAGAGCTGGTGCCCATTACAGGGAGGAGGCTGGCAGTGTCAAGTCTGGGCCAGACCCACTGCCACAGCAGTTGCCCACTTGGGGTCCCTGGGGAGAATGGGGTGTGGTGAGGGGCTTTGGTGCTTCCTGGTATTGGGTCCCGATGCCAAGTGCCCCGCTTGCCAAAGCATTATGGCGTGGAAGCTGGCCCCCTAGGATTGGGAGAAACAACCTCTCTCTGGTAGAGGAAGGGGAGCGAGTGCTCTTACACAATCCAAACACATGGCCAGGAGGGCCAAGTGCCTGTCCAGCCTGGCTTGCCCAAGAGACCACTCCTCGCAGCATCAAGGTCCAGTGGGGTTGGGTCAGGGCAATGAAAGGGGATGGCAAGAGGTACCGAGAAGCTCTCAATCAGGCAGGGGCACAAATGTACTAAAATAACATCTACAACCAAAAGACCAAAAAGTCTCAATTCAAGGCTCAGGACTGCCTACTACAGGCACTGACTCCAAACACCCATCCTGCCTTCCTGCCCCAGCCTCTCACCCACCCAAGGGTGCTTGGGTGAGCAGCTCCCACTCTGGGCTAAGGTCACATGACAGGAGAGTCAAAGTTCAGGGACCTCTTTTAGGCATCAGAGGCTTGAGTATTCCCTCGGCCCTTCAGAGCTAACTTTTTTTTTTTTTTGGTCAAAAACAAACAAAAGTGCACATCCCTCTGTAGTCTGGAAACCAGTTCCTCATGCAGTGCTTTCCCCTGGGAGGGTCTTAGGCTCAGCTGCAGTGTCACCCCGCCACGTGTACTACCCTACAAAAGGACTAACAACCTGCCCCTGGCCCATTCCCCAACCTCATACGTAAATGAGCATTTGATGCAACCCCGAATCACATCCAGAGGGGAAGGGATCCACATGGCTTGGAATCCTTTAAAACAGGACAGCAAACCAGGCATGCACACAAACGTGCGCATGCACACAACCACACCCTACCTCCCTATCCACCTCAGGCCCAGGGAGGAAGGGGCTGCATGAGAGAAAGAGGCCACATGTGTCAATGGCTGGGTCTCCAGGGCCATGATGGTCATCTGGGCCAGGAGGGGATGGTTGAGTGGGGCCACAGGACAGAGATGAAAGGAATTCAACTAGACAAAGTGCTAACCTCCCTGTAGTCACAGACATCAGCTCTAGGGGGAGGGTGTCAAGTGACCAGTTGGCAGCTCCCTGCGGCCCAGCTTAAAAGGGAGTGGGGGCTGGGATCAGACCTATTTGGGTGGCAGGGTCTGAGAAAGCCTGCTGAGGTTGGATGGCTTTGAGTGAGAGGATAGCTGGGTGACAGAGGCAGTGAGATGGGGCCAGTCTCTCCATATTCTGGGGAGGGTCAGGTCCCAGCTGCAGCTCTTCCTTCCCTGTGAGCTTGGACACACCAATCTTAAACCAGGCGTGTGAAAGAGGGACGGAGGGAGCAGGAAGCAGCAATTCACATCTGGACCATTCTTAGCACAGGAAGCCACTAATTAAAGACGTTATATAGAAAACATGTAAAAGAAAAAAAAGAAATATAAAACCAAAACCAACAAAATAAATCAGAGGCAGGCAGGGAAACAGTAGGGGGATTGAGTTAAACACAATTTGGTGCTTCTGGAGCCCCCTCCCACTCCATGCCTGGGCTGGATCTTTTTTCTAGAAATGAGAGAAGATTGAAAATCTTTTTGTACATTTTTCTTTTCCTTTTTTTTTGGCCTTTCCTTTCCTTTCTCTTTTCTGTGGTCTTGGGTGCTCCTGGCTCTGAGGGCGGGTGGATGGTCAGTTGGCCAGCACAACGGGCTGAAACGGCTGGTTGGGATACTGCATGGTGTTCAGGTTGTAGCTGAGGCCTTCCACAAAGGGTGTCTTCTCCAGGAAGAGGCTGTTAGTGCCACCTCCAAATACCTGGGCCATGTCGAAGCTGTTGCTGTTGCAGGTGCCAGCCCCACTGCTCCCAAAGGGGGCTGGGGTGCCATTGCCCTGGCCATCGGCCCCATCAAAAAAGAGGCTGGGTGAGCCACCGCCATTGTACACGAACTCCTTGGCATTGGGTGAGAGCTGGGATTGAGGGGCTGGGCTGGCTGTGATGAAGTTCAGTGAATGCATAGACAGAGAGAGGCTCTTGTGCTTCAGCAAGTTGTTGGTGGGTGAGCGGGCCATGCGAGGCTGCTGCTGTGGTGGCTGCTGGCCACTTGCCCCGCCATTGGCCACACCCCCACCACTTGCTGCCCCACCACCCTTCTTCATCTTAGTGGAGCCAAATTTAGTGGCAGCGAAGGAGGCGGTGGTGAAGGTGATAGGCTGGGCAGAGCGGGGGATAAAGGTGGGGCTGGGCGACTGGCCAAAGGATGGTGATGGGGAGTTGGACAGGGAGCTGTCCTGGCTGCCGATGGGCACAAACACCTGAGCATCGGGGTTAAAGCTGCTCTTGATCTCTTTGTCCAGCTCTGGGGCACCACAGCCCTCACTGTCATCCACGTAGAGAACCTTCACAGCCCCCTTCTCACCAATCTGATAGGATACCTCAAAAGGGTCAATCCAGACGCTCAGCTCCTCAGGCACATTGGCCCGCACATCCTCCACTGCCAGGCCACTCCGCTTGGCAGCCAGCTCCACCACCGGGTCCACCATCTCCCCAATGTGGACACAGCGGAAGCCAGAGCCCTTCAGTGGCTTGTCAGGGTACCAGTGGCCTTCATATTTCTTTTTCAAAAGCCGCTCTAGCTCTTCCCCAAATAGGTCTGCCCGGCGCCGGGGCAGCTTGTTGTACAAATAGGAGATGATGAAGTTCAGGGCCACTTTGATCTCCAGCTGCATGGTCCTTTCCTAGACAGAGAATCAGCACAGGGCAGGCACACAGGCCAGGGCAGTGGCAGGAGATATAAGGTGGGCAGGTTTGGGATCCAGATGGCTCTGGGAAATGAGAAACAAGGAGAGGGGCACCATGAGGAGATATGCAGAGAAAGCTGGTGGTGACAGCCAGGGATAGACAGAAAGGCATCTGGATCACATGGACCCAGGGGCCTGTTTCTGCTCCACAAGTGGCTGGCCTGACTGTGTGACTGTGGGCATGTCACTTTTTCCTGACTCTTAGTTTCCTCATCAGTAACATGAGGCTATTATGAAGTTAGTTCAGAATATAAACCACCCTGCACTGTATCTGGCAATTAGTATGCATTTGATAAAGTTAGCTATTATTTTAAAGTAATTCTAAAGGAATAAGGTGCTGTGATTTCCACCATTTTGAGAATTCAGGTCACTGTATAAATGACACACACACAAAAATCAAGTCCCTAATTCAATTGGAGGAGGGCAGGCTCTTGTTGTCTCTGCAATGACTTGGTGAAGTTGTGCCCCCAAACTGTCACAGGCCAAGATGTAAGTTTAAAATCTTTAGTTGTCCTCCTTAAATGGAAAGGGATACGGGTCACTGAACAGGAAAGAGGACTGCCAACCTTTCACTGGGGGCATAGACTCCAGTCACATTCATCTGTCCTCCTAGGCTACATGGGTACACATGCTTTCTGGCTCAGTCTGGGTTTGCAGAACTGATTTAAGAACTCCACAGTATGACCAACACTTGCATTTCCATCCAGAGAGCCTCCAAGAATGGAGACAAGAGCAAGATCCCCAGAAAAAAGTCAAGACCTGTCACACTAGAGATGTGTGCCAACAAGGGAACACTAATGGGAGCTGCCCTAGGGAAGCAGAGCCCTGCAAGCCAGAGCAGCACTGGGTGGCCTTAGGGAATCTCTGTAATTTCTGGGGAGGGAATAACTGACGAGGGTGGTAGAGGGAAGAAATTTTCCATCACTCTGCGGCCTCCAGCTGGGGACCCATCATCACTTGGTCTCCCAGAGACTGTCTGACCACCTGTCCTCGGCACCAAATCAGATTTATCAAGTGTTTAGAGATCCCTGGAGAGGAGGCAGCCCAAGATAAACACTCAGATTGTTATTTTGGGATTCTCTCACAGCCAGATCCCCCTGAGGTCAAAAAGGTTTATTCCTTAGATCTGGGCCAGCCTCATGTCTCAGGAAGATGATCTGTGAGGTCCCGAGAGCCAGTGATCCTACCTAATCTCACTTTCTCCAAATGGGCAGCTCCTGAGCTCATGCTGGGAGGGAAGCTGAACTGAAAAAGGCCATCTCTGAGGGGAGGCAGGGCCAGAACATGTTCCAGCCAGACCTCTGGGCAAGGCTGTGCTGCTGAGCTCAGCAGAAAGACAAGATTGATCCATGATCCATCAAGGGCATCTTCTTTCCTGTGAAAGACTCAGGGCTGGATTTTGATTAAAATCCCTTCCGGGTCCAGCATGAAGTATCCAGATGCTCATTCTAGGCTTGGGGATCTTGAGTCTGAACATCTGCTCCAGTACATTTCTCTGTAATTCTCAGGCCTGGGCCCATTGCTCCTAGGGGCATTTTTAGGACTGAATCTTCAAAAAAAGGCTTCTGGAGAGAATATGCCAGAGAAGATGCACTGGGTCAGTATGGAGCAGCACACGAGAGAGGCTAGATCTAGTACAACACTCACTTCAGGTCTGAGGAACCAAAGGGTCACATGGTGAGTCAGCAGAGGTGTCAGGATTTCACCCCTCTCCCGAGGCCTCCACAAGAATGCTCAGGATTCAGGAAACCCTGGTCTCCCCCTTATCTCAGCCTCTAACACAGACTTATTTATCTCCAAGTTTCTCCAAATGTCCATTTGTGATCAACAAAGATTAATTCCCAGGGTCCTTTTAGGTTTAAAGGAAAGTAAGAATAATGGTAAAAAGAATAAGGGACCTTCATATTATAAGGATTGGGTTCATAACCAGATGCCAAGTTAGACACCAGGACCACAGGCCTCCTCTTAAGAATGGAGTTTTGAAAGGGCCACAGGGGGCCACTAGAAGTATCCAACATGGAGGGGACTAAAAACTTGTGAAGAAAGTTGGCAGTGGTTCACAAGAATAGGCCTGGAGTTAAAGATAGTGTTTCCAAAGAGGTTTTTTTTTTTTTAAAGATGACCGGTAAGGGGATCTTAACCCTTGACTTGGTGTTGTCAGCACCACGCTCAGGTAGTGAGCGAACCGGCCATCCCTATATGGGATCCGAACCCGTGGCCTTGGTGTTATCAGCACCACCCTCTCCTGAGCGTAATAACTTCGTATAGCATACATTATACGAAGTTATAGGGACTAAAAACTTGTGAAGAAAGTTGGCAGTGGTTCACAAGAATAGGCCTGGAGTTAAAGATAGTGTTTCCAAAGAGGTTTTTTTTTTTTTAAAGATGACCGGTAAGGGGATCTTAACCCTTGACTTGGTGTTGTCAGCACCACGCTCAGGTAGTGAGCGAACCGGCCATCCCTATATGGGATCCGAACCCGTGGCCTTGGTGTTATCAGCACCGCACTCTACCAAGTGAGCCACAGGCCGGCCCCTCCAAAGAGTTTTTAAAAGAGTAAAACAGACTCAAAGTTAACATAAGACACTTATCCCAAGGCAACACATGGCCTCTTAATATGTATCTCTTGGTATTCCGCCCAGACCAAAGGGCTTCTACACCTTTCTGAGCCTCCTCAAACTTTGTTCCATAATTACCTTCCAAGTTAACCACTCTTAAATAGTTCAGCCCCCAAATGGGAGCATTTTCAATGCAGGCCAAAGTCATTGGGAAATAAGCCTCCCACCCCCAAATACAATAGAACCACTGTCATCAGCCCTGCCTAGCTAACCATATTCTGCAGCATAAGCAACTAAACCTGCACACCAATTTATACTTCAGTGATGTTGCCACACAAATAAGGAAGCATATAATGCCACCTTTGCCTCTTTAATTGGAGAACAGGCCAGGCCAGATGGCTGTGGGGTGGAACCTTACAAAAATGCCAGGATAACCAGAATGAGATTTTCTGCTCTATCAGCTCAGGCTCTAATTTTGACTTCAAGAAGCTTATGGAACACAGGATTAAAGCACTGATGCTGTCTTGTCTTTAGCTAAAGATAGGTGGTGTTACCATTAAGATGAGTTTGCTCATTTTTAAAAAAGCTATGGACAAACTCTAGAGCTTATATATAAAATATTTACAGAAGCGTGATAAGATTAGAAAGCTTAGGGTGACTGGATAGTTAGCTCAGTTGGTTAGAGTGCAGCCTTGTAAAACCAAGATCAAGCGTTCAGGTCCCCAGACCAGACAGACCACCCCTGCCCCAAAAGATTAGGAAGTTTAGAAATAACTACCCTTCAATAAAAGGAACAAACAGATTGGTTAAGCAACCGCAGAGGTCTCTTAAGAGCTTTTCCGACCCTGACTCAAGCACAAAAGGCCAGATAAGCAGCAAAAAGAAGAAAAAAGGCTAAGTGGTGAACAATAGCAAAATCTTCCTTTTGTCAATATATTAAAAAGTTGCAAATGTGAGAGTAAATAGTTTTCAATTTCACTAAGAATCTTATCCTCTTTCCCTAGTTTACTCACACAAGCAAAGTCAAACCTGAATTCAGATCCCTTGTGCTGTCTTGCGTTTGAAAGAGTGAGCGCTTAGGGGAAAGACAAAGATGGGGAAGAAAGGAGGTGTGAAGCTGGAAGGAGGCCTCAGTCAATGCAGATTCCAGAGAAAGCCTCTGACAAAAACGTGAAGGAAGGTTTTTAACAAGAAAAAAAAAGTTTTGTTTTAAAGGGGGTAATGAGGGATAATGGTGAAGGAATCTATCGGGCCCCAAACCTACAGAAATATCCAGATACCTCAAAGTCTTAACATCCAAATCGTCCTACAATCAAACACTATCAGGTTCAAATAAATAAGTGTGGAAAAGAGGGCATGGGGTCCTCAATCTCATCAAGGCCAGTAGGTGCCGAGCTCAGGCCGCTCCTCTGGGACAGAGATGGGCAACCTGCCCCACCCGCCGGGCGGGCGTGGGCTGAATGGCTTCCAGGACTTGTGCCGACAGTCCGCACCACCCCGCCCAGTTCCACACCATCTCCGCCAAACACAGACTGGACAACGATGGGTCTGACTACAAGACACCTTCCGACTAAGAGTGTCCTTTCTTAGGCGTTCTAGGCTCCTCAGAAGCCAGGAAGGCTCGACTCAAGCCCCGCCAGGCGGGCAGGCCGGAGGCGGGGGCGCGCTGTGCACTCTGGGAATTGTAGCCCTCAAGACACCTCGGGCTCAGGTTGGAGCAAGTGACCTACTTTCTCTGCACACTACACTTCCCTGCGTACCTTGCGAAGGCTCAACTACGCATGCCCGGCAAACGGAGCTGGCCGAGGGTCGGAGAACAGATGAAAAGTTTCCAACGCACATGCGCGTTACGGCGGAGAGCCCCCCCCCATCGCCTAATACATTTGATATAAATTCTTCCCATAAGGCCTCCTCCCCGTGTTGTAGCACCCACTGCGTCCTTGTCTAGGCTTTACGAGAGGCCGAACTTTTCCCCTCTTTCACCTCCTCCCATGACTGCTGAATTAGGGATCTGCCTCTAATGAGTTTTTTTCTGGGTGAAGGGAGTAGGCTGGGATAGATAAGGTCACGTTCCCCCCTCCCTCCCCAACACTGCCCCTTTATCTGAATTCCATGGGTTGGGCGGTCTGTCTGGGGTTGCTGTAGGGACGGTGGACTCAAAGAGAAACGAGCTTTTTTCACTTAATGCCCAGCGGGCTCGGCTCCAGCACCCTCACAGCCAGGAAAGGAAGGAATTAAATCCAGTACTACCATCTTCTTGGCCAAAGAAATTCCCAGTTAAGCTGTGGGGAGGCGCCGGGCCGACAATCAGAAGGCCTGACGCCTACAGGGACCAAACCTCAACCCACTTCTAATCCAAGTCTGAGAAATCAGACCCGGGCAAGGGAAATGGGAAAAGGTTCCCGGGCAGGAAAGGAAAGACTATACATTTGACACCTGAACAACATCTTTTAATACTTAAAATTCTGTGTGATTCTCCTCCCAGTGCAAGGGGTACTGTTCGACCAGACTTACCAGGTCCTCGTCAAAGCTCCCCTACAGGGTGTTAAACCTCCCTAATCCTTACTGCCACACAAGCTTCTTTCCCCCCATGCTTAAGAGAGGGATAGGGGCAGGCGCCCAAGAAAGCAATAGGGATGTTTTTCTACTGGGAAATCGGATATGAAGGACCCACTCCCAAGGTAGGGTGGGTAGGAAAGAGAAGAAGACAGGTTAGATGCTGAGCAGGCACTTGAGACATCGTCTGCGGGTCCCCAAGTTGAAGCCCGCTGTATGGGGCTCTGGTTCCTCCTTGGGGAGGGAGAGGGCCTGCCGGCTTCGGCTTCTCCTCCTCTCTCTGCTCCCTTCTTCCCCTCCCCAGATTTCTGCTCAAGGGCACAGTCCATCCTCTGGACAGAAGGGGAAGGCGTTTAGGAGTACGGGCTTCTCCCCCAGGCACCTCACTGAGAGCAACCAGAATCCACTCACTGGTTTTGCTGTACGGGTCCTCCCCCGCTTCTCTCGTTTTCCCTTAAAACACTGAAGAGAGTCAAGAGCTCAAGCCGAAATGTGAATTCTGGCTCAAGGACAGTTTCCACTGACCGGTCTCATCATCAAAAAGGGGGTATTCAACCTCCACCCCTCATGTTCCACAGCGTCAGAAATAAACTCTAGTGATAATTACCACCCCTCACACGGGAAAAGAAGCAGAAAAGCAAGGCCTGGTTCCCCTTCCTTTCTCTGATTTATTTAACGGTGGTGAGAGTTCTGTTCTTTGGGGAACAAGGAAAATCTAGCGAGTATCTGGGATATGAAGAACTGGGGGAGGCGGGGGAGGGAGGAAATGCACCCCACCCACAGGAGGGGGCCACACTGGAACTGGGAGAGGAAGAGATTTTTGAGTACCCCAGGATCGGAGCTAGCGTGAGGGGCAGAGAAGCACAGGGAAAAAAGATGGGGGGTTTCCTGGGGGAAGGCAGAAGGGAAACGAAAATGCTGGCCAGACGGGGGAAGGGGGGCGACAGCAACGTGGAGCGTCCAGGAAAGCGCAGAGCGGGAGTGGCGCGGGGTGGGGAGAGGCGGGAGGGCCGGCTGGGCCTCAGAGCGAGTCCCCCCGCCCGCAGGCCCGTCACGCACTCACTCAGGTCTCGGCGGCGGCGGGGCCGTCTGCGGGCCGCGGGGCGGCTTCTCCCTCCAGGCGGGTCCTGGGCGCGGGGCGGAGGTCACTCTCCCTTCCTTCCCGGGCGCCGCCGGACCGGGGGCCGCTGTGTCCTTTCCTTTGTTGAGGGTTGGGGGTTAAAGGGGGGGTTTATGGGCTATGAATCTCGATAATAACTCTCTCAGCTTTTTGAAGGTTGGGCTCGGCGGCGCGGGGACGGAGGGCGGGCGGGCCGGCCGGCGGCG